AATTTTTCTAAAAGCTTTTATATAATGGATTTCCGCAAAGTAACGCCTGATTCTATTAATTAAATTCTAAATTTAACTTTAAATACAACAAGTTGGACTCAGGGTACTTTACCTATAAAATTTGGTAGTATTGGTGTGAGAAATCTTTCTATCGTTACATTGCAAGCTTTCCTCGCTTCCATGCATAGTGTCAGAGATTTATGTAACATAATTTTAAATAATAAAATAGACGTGCTACGGAACTGCTGCTTTGCTACGGAGGCAGGACAGACATGGCGAACGCTTTGTACTGGCGAAAATGTTCCATTGAAAGTTAACCAAAAAACAGTGAGATATTCCGTAGGTATAGAGCGTGCAGAAATATTTTTTTCGTAATTTCCATAATGACCAAGATCAGTCATGCATTATTCTAGCTGTTTTGACTAAGGAATCTAGTCACTGGTTACACGCTTTACCGTCAAGTAATCTCGGCACATTACTTGATGGGCAAAGCTTGCGCATCGCCGTAGGAATCCAACTAGGAGCAGCGATTTGTCAACCCCATCAGTGCCCCTGTGGTAGCAGTGTCGAAAAGTATGGGCTCCACGGACTTTCTTGTAAGAATAGTGCTGTTAGGTTTTCACGGCGCGGTTGTTTGAAGATGTCATCCGCAGGCCTCTTGTCTCTATAAATATTCCCTCGGTTTTAGAGCCTTGTGGAATATTTAGAAACGATGGCAAGAGACCCGAAGGTATGACATTGGTTCCTTGGGAGAGAGGTAGAGCCCTAGTGTGGGATGCTTCTTGCGTAGATACTCTCATCTCAGGAGTACCTAGCTTAGAGCCGGGGCGGCATCAGATGCAGCTGAACTGAGCAAGTGGCGCAAATATGAGTCTCTGAGAGATGACTACATATTTGTGCCGTTTGCTGTAGAGACTATTGGTCCATGGGGTACACGTGCGGTGAAGTTCCTAAAAGAACTCCATCCGCGAATGGTCGTTGCTGCTGGTGATAGACGGCTGGTTCTTTTCTCGCTGAAAGGCTAAGTTAGCGATTCAGCGGGGAAACGCAGCCAGCGTTCTTGGTACGATACCGCGGGGAGTTGGACCGTATGATAATTAAGTTACTAGTTTTAGTTTTCTTTTAATATTGTTTTTAATATTTTTGTATTATTTCGTATAAAATAAAATATTGTATATTATGTTATGTAATTAAAAATAAACAAATAAATATGCAAAATTTTATTATATTATATTTAACTATATTACAATTTTCAGTTTTAAAAAGTGGATTTACTAATTCTTGTTATTTCGGAAACTCATTTAAATCAAAAAACATTTTGTGAAAAGCCAGCCCTGAAGATGTTCTTGCGAATCTCAGTTTAGTTCTTTATATCAGAAAGTAGTTTGTTATTTATCTTTATCGGCAGGGATAGTAGGCAGTTCTTTGGTAGAATGACGTTTTAGGTAGGCGTGTGTTCCACTGGCATGGTGGCGCTCGCATTTTTACAATTTTCTATTATTTTTTTACATACACTACCTTCAAGAATGAATATTGCTGGCAAAGTAATGCTTACACGACTCATGCCATTTAGCTCTAGTCAAGACTGTGATATATTTTTTGTATAATAAACGTTATTTTCCAGTCAGAAGTATTAACCCTGATTAACAATCCATATCTAAATGTTGATGCAACGTATCCTTGGTAAGCAGTACAAATCGCCATTTTAATCATCGAAGTTTTCCTTAATTTCCTTAAAACATAAACAAACCTATTAATTTTCATACAGACTTCATCTTTAAGCGCCTTCTAATTAGAATTTTTATCTAAAATTAATTCACGACATTTAATTTGTTCGTTTGTGTAGCATAGATTTGTTGATATTTATGTAATAAAACCGAACATAGCTAGCTTAAGGTATGTTTCCTTTTAAATAATTAGTATTTATCCTCGAGGTTATATGTCAAGTGGCAGCCTTGTACCTGTAGACGTAGTGTGGGCGGCCCTCCACTAGAACGAGTGACAACCTGGTAATACATGCAGAGGAAATTATATATATATATATATATATCATCCGCAGACATTACGGAAGGAAAAGATGTTGAATCAGGAAAGGAAGTGGAATCAATCATTAATGTAGATTATACATAATGTAGGTCCAAGTACACTTCCTTGGGGTAAACCAGATTTTTTAGCCGACATAGGCGGGGACAGGGCTTATGAGTTTTGGTTTCGTGCTTTTTTATTTTTGTCTGGGGGCTAAATTAAATTGAGGACGCATGTTCACGCCCATCCCATGACGTTGGCACTTGCATGTGACGCAGATCAACATTTTGTTCGAGTGTTTTTAATTTGTCGTAATTTCTGCGGATGATATATATATATATATATATATATATATATATATATATCATCCGCAGACATTACGGAAGGAAAAGATGTTGAATCAGGAAAGGAAGTGGAATCAATCATTAATGTACTTACTTACTTACTTACTTATCTTCACGCACAATCCCTGACGGGGTAGCCAGAGAGAACAGATCGCCAAGTGTCACGATCCTTACAAACCTCTTTCGCTTCTTTCAGATTCATTATCTTCTTCATGCATGCACGTCTAGGTATCCGAGTACTTTTGACTTCGAGCAATTTGCTCACATGGTCTTCGAAAGTTAGTCTCGGTCTACCTCGACACCTTTTAATATTAACTTTCGCGCTATATATTTTCTTCACCATTCGGTCTTCACTCATTCGCTCAACGTGCCCAAACCACCGAAGCACGCCCTTATCAATTTTTGTGATAAGGTCATCTTTCAAACCTGCCATATTGCGAATCTCTTCGTTTCGTTTTCGGTCGGCCATGGTAACGCCGCACATTTTACGAAGAGATCGCATCTCCACTGCATTCAACTTACTTTTATGCTTCTTCTGGCATACCCAGGTTTCGCTGCCATATAACAAAGTCGGTACCAACACTACGTTATGTATTGCAAGGCGTGCACTCTTCGCTACGCCTTGCCTTTTGACTAACGCAATCTACTAATAAACTAATCATTAATGTAGATTATACATAATGTAGGTCCAAGTACACTTCCTTGGGGTAAACCAGATTTTTTAGCATCAGCGGCGATATAAATGATTTTAGATGTCATTTTTGTTTGATGAGACTCATAGAGCAACGCAGTCCACTGGTGGATTAGAGGGGAGTAATACGCAAGCGTTCCCCTGTGCCAAAGTATAACGCGGTCATATGGGTGATACCAAACAAAAATTACATCTAGTTTCGACAATAAGAAATTAGCCAATTTAGTACAAGTCGTCTAATACCTAAACAATTTAATATAAGTTCGATATATAGTCCACCTGATGGTAAGTGGATACTATGGCACATATACATCCACATTTATATTGGATTAAGGATCAAAATGCTTATATATTGTTACCCTCGATGATTAAGATGAAAAAAAGCCTTGGATCCAGTACAAAGGGTTCCTGTTCTCTACACTCACCATACGAATTACTGCTGATATTTTACGCTGATTTTCTGTGAAAGCGTGGTCCTTCCCCGGTCGTCCTACAACCATAATATAGCCGCAGCATGGCTCTATTACGTGTAAATGCTCGTGTGTACATTAAAATCTGATTATAATTACACCACAGGGTAAATGAAGTATCCCATTCAAAAGAAGATAACGGGATAAGAAGGAGTAACTGGTGGTGATCTAAACTCTTCATATTCTATTGCATCTAGTTGTTTTCTTTTACCGAGCCAGGAAGTGGTAAATTTGCAAACTACAAACAAAATAATAATTAACTACATAATACATACAATTTACTAATAAATAAACTATACATATATGACGTATACAAACATATATACAAATATATACATACAAATATACATACAAATATACATATTTAAATACATAATATATAATTAGTACATACAAATACCTATGAATATATGCGTCTGTTTAGCAATACATATCAAATGGATGAATCAAGGAATCTGAGGAATAAGATGTAAGAATAAAAAGGTTGACAAGCACACAGTTCAACTAAAAGCCAATGCACACTTAGGCCCATAAAAAAAGAATCACAAAAATCGGTTCGCCCAAAAAAAAGTTTTGAGGTAAAACACATAAAAAAAGAATATACAGTCGAATTGAGAACCTCCTCCTTTTTGAAGTCAGTAGAAAAAAGTTTAAGCAATCTGTTTTGCCATTTTATGTAGTATTTTATATTGCTGAATTGTATTTCCTGGAAACATACGACAAACTAACCACTATATTTCGAATAGGTAGACTTAAACAAAAGAGGGGGTCTCAGTTAATGTCGTTGTCAGAATTTTAAAAGTGCGTATAATATTATGTAGCGAAAGGTTTAAAGTCGAATGTTGCAAAGCTGCCGTATTTGGTCCGTATGACAATGTAGGTAGTGGGTTAATCGTCGTCAATATAAAAGCACTGTCGCTTTCAATGGTCGCTAGTTCATTGGGTCTACTATAGAGAGTAAAAGGTGGGTGAACGAACTGTTGTCAGCTACCGCAATCTGTGCCTACGTCTATCATTGCATTGTGAATTGTGTTTCATTATAACGTGCATTCATATAAATTCATAGTGATCCTTAAGACATAAAAAAATTCAGGGAATATAACACAAAAAGTGATTTTTTAATATAATTTCTTAATGATCTAAACCAATAATGAACATTATCAATTATGTGTTATTAGCAACTAATTACAAGAGTTAACTCTTGTAATATAAATCTTTATAACCTCCCAAACACCATTAAATTCAAACGATTCTTGTTAAAACAACAGAACTTATTTAAATTCTAAACAGGTACTTGAAGTCCCTGAAGGTACCTCCCTAACTTGTTAAGCACATTCTATTGTTTATTATTCGGTACAACACACACGCATCGCTTCTAACAGATCATAGATAATAATTGATTTCACTGATAAATATTTTAGTTGTATTATTTATATTTTATCCATTTGTGATTACAGATAAAACTTCAAAATGAAAACTGTCATCGTCTTCGTGTGTTTTATCGTGATAGCATATGCTGCGGAGAAGTATAGTTCAAAATACGACAATTTCGATGTTGACACCCTCACTGACAATGATAGATTACTGAAGTCCTATGTTAATTGTTTCCTTGACAAGGGAAGGTGCACCGCTGAAGGATCTGATTTCAAAAGTAAGTAATATATTGACATAGAAATCCGGTCTTTATACTGAATACAAGCGAAGTCTGTTAACAACAAACTTGATATGCTGTGTAGATACCGATTTGTAACGCCACAAAAAAAAACATATTATATATGTATATTATATATGTTTTTTTTTATTTCAAATGTTGACGTTACAAAAAATTAATTTTCTTTCCATATAATTTTCTTAGTATTCCACTGTGGCTTTAGTCTAATAAAAAGACACAGTTAATGACTGACTTCACTTTTATTATTAAATCGGTTATACTATAGGCGTCCTTCGCTAAGGTTGGTGGTGGATAGGGTGTAAAGATTGTAAAGTAACTATTTAAAGGACATTCTAGTTGTTACCTTAAAGTTGTAATATTCCTTAGTCCACTAAAAAGGAAAAAATAATTTAAAAAAAAAAAACTTTTTTTAAAAACTCCATCTCAACAACAACTATAGAAGCTATTCAGTGGAAATTATTTTGTTATTTTTTATTTATTTAAAGACGGTTTTTACTTTATTTAAAAGTTTATTTTCTTAATATGAAATTATGGTTGCCCTTGATGCTTGCCATCATTCTATCATCCTATTTAGGCAATAAACCTGAAATAACTTGAAGGATACTTTAATATTCAATTTAAATCAATTATAATAAATTTGTATAAGTTTGTATAAACAGATCGAGGTCAAGGTCATACACGCCTTACGAACTAAATGGCTATAGTTACAAATGATCTTAAAGGTAAACTTCGTGTAAAGAATTATAAAAGGATTAAACCGAAAAGCCGTTTTACATAAGTTTCTTTTGAATGTAAGCAGTCTAACATATGTTACGCTAAATACACTTCACATACTTTTTTACTTCACATTCTTCTTTATTACATATACGTGGTAGAGCCGAGCTGTCGTTCGTGAGTGGTCGTCTCGACCGGGGTAGGACCACACTCACACACACCAGCGTAAAATAGTGGCTTAAGGCTGCTGTATTTCATATAATGAGTGTAGAGTACCTCCGATTCACTTTTTCACTGGAAACGGGGCATTCCATGACCTCAGAAGTGACAACGCATCTGCATCATGCATCTTGATTCTTAATCGAGGATACAGCATCCATTTACTGTCAGGTGGACCGTGTGCTCTTTTGTCTCTTTTATTCTAAGAAAAAAATAATTCGGCCTATTGAAAGTCCACTGCTGAACATGCCTGCCCCACATATTGTCGCATAGGGGGAGTGTTAGAAATAGTTGTCCCACCAGGCGTATTGACAACCGCAATTATGATTCTGAAAGATACCCATCTGCTGGTTCATTTTCCCTCTGCCATTTCTTATGACACCCACGGGATGACATAGTTCACTTGAATAATTAGTTTTTATTTTATATTAATTGTTATTATAATTTGTAATTTATAGAAGCGCTCCCTGAAGCTGTAGAAACCTCCTGCGGGAAATGTACTGAGAAGCAGAAGGTCAATATAAGGAAAGTAATCAAGGCCATTCAACAAAAGTTCCCCAAGCAATGGGAAGAGCTAGTGAAAAAAAACGACCCCACAGGCAAACACCGCGCTGATTTCGACAAGTTTATTCAGGGAAGCTAAATTAGTTTATTATATTTCAAAATAACTTAATACTGTAGTTTAGTTTAAGATAATAAGTAAGAATTAAATTTTCTATTAAATTGTTAAAATACTCTACTTTTTATATTGAAAATTATATTATCTTTTATAGTTTGAATAATTTTAAAATTAAAATATTTATCAAACATAATTTCCTTTAGAACTGTATAAACTACAACAGATTTTAAGTATTTTAACGGTTTTTCTGTTAGACTGTCTATTATTATTGCTTTTTGTTGTTATTTATTTCGCAAGAACTGATTAGACTGAGAATAATAAACATTGTATTATAAATAAGTTTTTAATGCGGACCTTTAGTTAAGCAGCCCTGTTTAATTAGGTGCACGATTGTCATTTCGCCAACGTTGAGCAAGGTGTAAGTGGTCTTGGTTGCATGTGTGTTTGTGTGTCAGACAGGCTACCGGGCCGCTTGCGCCAGAGCTTCTTGCAGCTCTGTGACGTAACGCCAACAGCGATTGTATAACTATCATATAATCTATAAGTACGCAATCATTCCGCATCGTTAGATGTACAAAACTTCCATTACAGTTTTGTTGAACAGCATTTAAAAAAAAGGAAAAATTACAAAAGGTGGTATTTGTAATAATAAATAATAAGTCAACAATAAACGACGGCTTGATAGAACTGTCGCTAAACTTTGGCTTCGGCACTGCGAGGCCGTGGATTCGAACTCTCTATAGAATTAGGGCTAAAATAAATATTGTCGGTTTTCAGGTCTCATAAATTTGGAAAGAGAAAATGTAGGATATGTAAACATATTAAGAAAGCCGACAGTCGATGTTTTAATTCCTTAATTATTTCATTACAGCCTAACACAGTCCACAGCTGAACATAGGTTTGATGGCCTTTTATAGGGGATATTTGCCATAATTGACACTTGCCAGGTTAACCGCCTCACAAGTTTTATTTTCTGGTTGTTACAAGGACGACACTGCTGCCCTCTACCTGGTTTGTTTCCCTCTGTCGCCCCTTACGAGACCCATGATATGTTGTGGTTGTGGATATTCATACTATATATATACATACATCACTATATGGTTAGGCTATACTAGATAAGTCAATTTTTAATATTCAATGTCTATACTAAAAAATCAATGTCTATACTAAAATTCGAAATAGAACAAACCCTGCACTTTATAGTAATGTATGGCTAAGCGGTGAACCACAGCCATGGCCGCAATTACATTAGACCATGCTAGTCTGGGTGATACTAGTGTTGCAAGACCTGTGTATCTATGTAGAACGAGTCGATCAGCCCTAACGAAAGAGGACCAAGCTCTTAAACATTGCCAGCCTTAAATAGAAACCTAACGCTGGTACGTTTCCTATGGTAAGAAGTGAGAGTATAGAGAACCAGGGACCCTTTTTACTGGTTACGAGTGATTTCATATGTTTAGTCCTTGGCGTGGCAAAGCACAATAAATTTCAATTTTTATTCCAGTTTTAATGTTTTAATAAGTATCTATGGGTCACACCGTGCACCTACATACCTGATTGTGTGTTCTGACTGTATGTTCGTTTGTCCTCCTTATTTATATATTTTAAAGGTGGTAGCGCCATGCTGCAGCTATATTGGTAGTATAGTTGTAGCACGAATGGGTCGGCTCGACCGGGGAAAGAACACGCTCTCACAGAATACCAGCGTAAAATAGCAGCTTAACACTGCTGTGTTTCGTATGGTGAGTGTAGAGAACTGGAGACCCTTTTGACTGGAAACGAGGCATTCCATCTTAATCCTCACTGGTGACAACGCATCTGCATTTTGATTCGCAAACGAGGATAGATGTAGATGTCTATGGGCCACAGCAACCATTTACCATCAGGTGGGCTGTGTGCTCGTTTGTCACCCTTATCCTACAAAAAGAAACCATGTATCGATAAAATTTTAACAAATGTTAAACTGTTGTAGTGGACTTTTTATAGGATGTAATACATAAATAAATCTGAAAGAGAGGCCATTGAGGACGTTATCTGGACACCCTGCATGATAAGGTTATATAAGAAATCCGTGACAAGCGTGCAGCGAGGCGGGGCGTTCAGCGTGCATGATATATATATATGTGGTAGAGCCATGCTGCAGCTATATTAGTAGTAGGTATAGTTGTAGCACGAATGGGTCGGCTCGACCGGGGAAGGACCATGCTCTGACAGAATACCATTGTAAAATATCAGCTTAACACTGCTGTTTTTTTTTAAATTTTTTTTTAAGAAAACGTTACCCCCACACTAGGATTTTCTCCTGTATCGTGGAGGCAGTTTACAAACATAAATTGCACAAGGACAAACATCCAGACCCGGAACAATTATTTGTAGGCCATACAAATACTTGTTCCGTGCGGGATTCGAACCCGCGGCACCCAGCGCAACAACTCATTGCTAAGCCACTGCGCAACGGAGCCGTCAAGCTGTGTTTCGTATGGTGAGTGTAGAGAACCGAAACCCTTTTTACTGGAAACGAGGCATTACATCTTAGTACTCACGGGTGACAACACATCTGCATTATTGACTCGTAATCGAGAATAGATGTAGATGTCTATGGGCCGCAGCAACCACTTACCATCAGGTGCACTGAGTGCCCGTTTGTCATCCTTATCCTATAAAAAAATATAAGAATATTATTGTCCTTACTGGCGGTCGTTTAAAACAATAACATTGCGCTTGTTCTATTGAAGCGAGCTTTGGATGTAAAAGTGACATTTGATTAGGATTATAAAACTATCGTCTTCTTTGTTCCATATATTTTTTGGTAAAAATGGTTTACTTTTTTATAATTACTAGCATTATATGAAGTTTTAGGTTAAATAAAATGAAAATAAAAATAAACTAAGCTCATGCTTGCAAAACTAGATATATTATATTGCGCAATGTACAAATTTCTTGCCAAAGGTCGTTAATTAGTTAATCACAATGCTTATTTAATAGTAGATAATTAACTAATTTGGTAATCATAATAGCTTTGGTACAGGACGTCCTTGAACGTCCTTAAGTAAAAGCGAAACGTTAGCTTTAGTCTGAACCGGTTACAAACGCTGTAAATTCAGCCTCATGTTCGCTATTTGGGTCGTATTTTTTCTTAAACTCCAAAGCATCTTCCAGCTTCTTCTCAAACAGGAATTTTACTATTTTTCTCACGGTATTCTTTTGTACTGGAGAACATTTACTACACGATTCTTTTACAATTTCTGGAAGTAATTCTGAAAAGTAAAAATAAGGTTTATTTCCAGTTTACTGATGCTTTCTTACACATTTTATATTATATATACTATGTATATGTTTGTATATAGTTAAATAATACAATTTACCTAGAGATAATACTACAAAAATTATTTTAATAATATCATACATATATATATATATATATATATATATATATATATATATATATATATATATATATATATATATTTCTATGAACCAGTTTCGTAATTACCACCATAATTATTCATCCATAAATAGTACACTGAACTCAAAGATTATGCCTGCATCTATTTCTCACCATTTATATATAATAATTATTAAGTTAAAATTACTAACAGTGTCGGTAATGATGATATAATCACAAAAGTAGTTAAGTATATGGCTGCTGAAATTTCCCCAGTTCTAAGTTTAGTTTTAAGTTTTCATACGTGGTAGAGCCATGCTGCAGCTATATTTATTGTATATTTGTAGCATGAAGGGGTTCGCTCGACCAGGGAAGGACCACGCTCTCACAGAATACCAGCGTAAAGTACCAGCTTAACGCTGCTGTGTTTCATTTGGTGAGTGTAGAGAACTGGAGACCCATTTTACTGGAAAAGAGGCATTCCATCTTAGTCCTCACGGCGTCACCCGCATCTGATTCAAACGCATCTGCATTTTGATTCTTTATTGAGGATAAATGTAGATGTCTATGGGTCACAGCAACCACTTACCATCAGGTGGACTGTGTGCTCGTTTGTCACCCTATCCTATAAAAAAGTAACGCGGTGAATCTATGTATAGAAAATGATACTTCCTTCCTAGTGGTTTAAAATATTTTTTATGGAATAAGAGTGACAAACGAGCACATAGTCCACCTGATGGTGGGTGGTTGCTGTGACCCATAGACATCTACATTTATCATCAAATAAGAATCAAAATGCAGATGCGCCGCAACCCCTGAGTACTAAGATGGAATGCCTCGTTTCCAATAAAAAAGGTCTCCGGTTCTCTACACTCACCACACGAGACACAGCAGCATTGTTCTGCTATTTTACGCTGGTATTCTGTGAGAGCGTGATCCTACCACGGTCGAGCCAACCCATTCGTGCTGCAACCAAAATATAGCTACAGTAAGACTCTACCACGTAAAAAACTCTGTTATTAGTCCTTTGTATAAAAAGGAGGACAGACATAACCTTAGTAACTACAGGCCTATCGCTTTGCTTCCAATATTCTCCAAAATAATACAGTAATATTAATTATAACTTATATTTTTATTTAGAAAGTAATAATATCTTAGCAAAGTAACAATATGGTGCTAGGAACACATATTCCCGATGCCGCCGCCGCCTTTCTGAACATTGGCGTGAAATCGGCGCGAGTTCTAAGTGTTTTAGAACTTACAGCTTTAGGAAGCCCTACAACATTATACTCTTCTATTCTTACTTTCGAACATAGATAGTATTATATCAAGAACCTCGTTACAATAATTTATATAGAAGTCGGTTGTGCAAAATTTTTAATTTTAAATTATTTTCTATTTGCTCTTGGCTTGTTTCCATTTGACACCTTGTAATTTAAAATTTAAAATTTTGTACAGCGGACTTCAATATAAGTTATTTAAGAATAACTCAAAAACTATTGGTCTGACCTTGATCAAATTCATATGGAATCACACGAAAACTATCAGCTTTCATATAAAAAGAATCATCGAAATCGGTTCACCCAATACAAAGTTATGAGGTTTGAGTACCGTCTCCTTTTTGGAAGTCGGCAGAAAAAGTAAAGCAGCTACCGAGTGACCGTTACATCATCTATGTTCCATATTTCCATACCATTAAATTACTAAATAGGACGATATGATATTATCGGTAGACGAATCCATGTCTTATTATTAAGCTGGTTACAATTAAGATTACTGTGGAAAATATTGTATACTAATATCTGGTACAAGAGCACTCGTCTTGTACATGTTTAGCGAGTGAGTATTTCTCTAAAGATATATACCTCTTTAGCGACAGTATTTATACTTAATGGATCAAACAAATTTGCGCTGCGCCATTTTTATAGTAGGAAGATAGTCATTTTTAAGAGTCAGATCGCATAATAAAGCCATACATTTAATAGGGTTTACTAAGGATTTTACTAATATGGGCATTATAATACAATTTAGAGACAATAATAATTTAATTTTTTTTTATTAAAATTAAATAAAACTAATTTTACGGATGTTATCGCGTATATTAACTTATGTTATATTCCCGACGTTTCGAGCACTTTACAACACCCATGGTCACTGGGCTGAGTTTTATGACGTCCCAATGTCATAGTTAACCACGGCTACCTCCAGATTAAAAATTATTAATTTTATTTTATTTTTAGTAAAGTTACCATCTCTAATGGTGCATTATATAAATAATAGGTATAATTATAAATGGGAATTTACTTTTTGTTGTTTGTTATAGTCTTACTTTTGAAAAATTAAGATGGAGTTTGTTTGTTATACAGTAGATATAGAGCCGATTGAGATTTCCTGAAATTTAGTAGTCTGTATTATGTATAATCAAAATGGAAAGCGCCTAATATTGAGCATTTAGAGACTCCCGTGTTGACTTTTACTGTATTGGATTGAAAACCATATTCACGACGTTTTGTGTTTCTTTTATGTAAAAAGAAACCAACAAACCAACATAAGAGGTATCCATGAATGTCATTAAAGGCAATTTTTTAAAGAAAATCTATGTTATCAAAAGCCTTGCAAAAATGAGTATAAATCGCGTCCACTTGAGCACGGCTATCGACACTTTTAAATAAAAATGTAGTGTAAAGTAAAATATTGATTACAGTAAAACGCTTATTGACAAAACCATGTAGTTGCGAAATGTTAAATTATATAAATTAAGATAAATAGCCTTGTGCACCAACCTTTCGATATAGTGAGCCATTCTATAATTTCAATATCTGTAATTATCATATACTAAGAAATAAACGATATTATATTTTATTCTATTCAAGTACTTTTGACAAAGTGAAAAAGTAGTAAATAAGTCCCGTTATATCGCTGTTATTTGACATTCCATAAACAAATTTAACAAACATATTAAAAGAAAGAAAAAAATTACAAACATAGCCGTAATCCTTTTTATGTTGAAGTTCAAAAAAAAACTAAACAGTTTTGAAAGAAGAAACAGGGGATTTCGTAAATTTTGCATAGGTAAAGCTAGGATTATATTTTTACAGGTGTTGTATTACACAGGTAAGCTGTAGTTGTCTCTCTCGGTTATCTAAACTTTTAAATTTTGAGTAATATGATCATTTTTATTATGAGTGATATTTGAACCTTTACCAGCTTCATAACAACAAAAAAGTAAAAATAAAAATATACGTAAAAACCATCACTTACTTCTGACTTCAGCAGAATATTCAGCTGTGCAGGGTGCCTTATCAAGAAAGCAATCAATATATGAAGTAAACAATGCATCATCAGCAATCATTTTATCGGCGTCCAATTTGTCGTACTCCGCATCGTAACATAATATAGACGGAGCCAAGAATGCCGCGACGACAAAACGAAGGAAGTACATTATTTTCAGCTGTGGAAAATGTCAAGAAAATCCATATTTGAAAAATATACGAGAAGTTTATTCTTTATCTATATGTAGGTGCACATTAATTACTTATATTTCGAATTGCAGTGAATTGTTAGTACGTGGTAGAGCCGTGCTGCAGCTACATTAGTAGTATAGTTGTAGAACGAATGGGTTGACTCGACCGGGGAAGGACCACGCTCTCACAGAATACCAGCGTCAAATAGCAGCTTAACACTGCTGTGTTACGTATGGTGAGTTTAGAGAACCGAAGACCCTTTTTACTGGAAACGAGGCATTCCATCTTAGTCCTCACGGGTGGCAACGCATCTGCATTTTGATTCGCAAAAGAGGATAAATATAGATGTCTATGGGCCACAGCAGTCACTTACCATCAGGTGGACTGTGTGCTCGTCACCCTATACTATAAAAAAAAATTGAATGTAACATATATGTAGTAAAATCCACATTTTAGTTTAAGTGTTGTTGCGTGAAAATAACATAGTTCCCTAGAAGAAATCTCAAAAAAAAAACAATCGTCACTGCCACTAAACTTAAAAATATCCGTAAAAAACCAAAATTTCAGATATACATTTAAATAGTAGAAATGGAAATGGGCGGACCATCTAATCAGAAGCATAAAAGAGAAATTGGCTAATTTAGTGGCTGAATGCCAGCCTAGTGAGGGTAAAAGGAAGAGAGGACCGATCGTTTCCTAAGGAAAGCTACGATCGGAAAATGTGAAAGGATTTGGGGAGCCCTATGCAAAAACAAAACTACCTTAATAGTCAATAGTCAATAATAAATAAATATATTTTTTTATAGGAGAGGGGGCAAACGAGCATGCGGCTTACCTGATGGTAAGTGACTACCGCCGCCTATGAACAACTGCAACACCAGGGAAACCAGGGGAATCGCAGATGCGTTGCCGGCCTTTTAAAAAGGAGAAGGCTCTTTTCTTGTAAGTCCCTAAGTAGTATCGGTCCGGAAAAATCGCTGATGGTAATCGATTCCACAAGGAAGTTGTGCGAGGAAGAAAACTTCTTCTAAATCGCACAGTGGTGGACCGCCAATCATCCAGATGGTGTGGATGGTATCGAGAAATCTGTCGCGATGTGCGTTTGTGAAATTTGACGGCTGGGATTAATCCGAACAATCAAACCTCAGAGCACTCCCCGTGGTAAATGCGAAAGAAAATGCAAAGGGATGCATCATCTCTTCGCAGTGTCAATGAATCGAGCCGATTGGAAAGAACTGGGTCGTCGACGATTCGAGCCTCTCTGCGCTGGATGCGGTCAAGTGGAAGGAGCTGGTGATATTCAGTATAATAAAAAAGTAAAACAATTAGATTCCAATATTTTTAATAAAGGCTATTATGTAACTATTCAAGAGAGAATAGTTTACCACCAGCGAATTTCCGGACCGATATGACTTAGGGGCCTTCAAGAAAAGAGCCTACTCCTTTTTAAAAGGCCGGCAACGCATCTGCTATTCCCCTGATTCCCCTAGTGTTGCGGTTGTTGATGGTCGGCGGTAGTCACTTACCATCAGGTGAGCCACATACTCGTTTGCCCCTTCTCCTATACTAAAATAAAGATTTGGCAGTTTGTACTTTGAAGCTGCAACCTTTCGACAACAATTCTTAGTCCACCACACTTTAAAAATTTGCCCATATCCACGTTGCTGGTTAGTCGGATTAATTCACGCAGCCTCGCATCGCACTGGTGTTGCTTCTTCTCATGCTCAATGTATGGTTCCTTAGCATTTTAGCATTTAGAATGGATGTGACAGAATATTTACATGACTAGGATTAGGATATCATTTATGACTTAGCTACACATTACAAACACACAGAGAGATATTACAAAGTGAGGTGAGTGTACTGTATAGAGAGATATTACAAAGTGAGGCAAAACCTTTTCTTAAAAACCAAAACTTGCAAAATTTTAGACCCGCACATATATGTGCTACAATAAAACTATATAATATTTGAAAAAAAAAAAACAATGTTTATGTTAACGGAGTAAAATAATAACTACTCTCATTCCAAGAGTTGACTAAAGTTATATAAAATATTGTGGTTAACTGCGACCAGCGCAGCGGTGTAGAGCAGACTTAAATTATTATGTTTATTATAATAGATCTTTACCTATGAAATTGCCGTTCTGCTGTACTGGCAATGTCAAATCAAAATATTTCCGTTTCAGCATAAACTATATACGCTTACTGTGATGAAAGGTTAATGACACTAATATACCTACTGAGTCTGCGTTTTCACCAAACCTGTGCGAGATAGCTCAGTGTTGCGCGAGGATAAACTACTTCCGTAGGTACCTAGCCTTGCTTGGCGTAGCTCTAATGAAAATGGGTCTTAGTAAATAGTCTTAGAAAACAAGTGAGACACATGTGCGATGGATGCGAGCGAAAGAGGTGTGCGAGGGATGTGTGATACTAGATTACTATATCACTAAAACTCTTAACACAGCATTAGTCAAAATAGTCCGCTGCGCATTTTTGTACCACTTAGCTTCCTTGTGCAGCTTAGGTGGATAGTGTCACGTCTTTCTAGCACATCTCAGGTTGGAACGCAGTCCAAAAGCCTGAAGTTGATTTGTTATGAAGTTTCTGAACGATACTGGAATTGATACAGAAGCTCCGGAACGATACTGGAATTGATACAGAAGCTCCGCAAGAATACGTATCCTTTCCCGCTTCCTAAGCTTTAACACTTGGCTGACGCAGATATCTTCTTTTTTATTTTTGCGGTCAAAATGTAAATAATCTATACATATAAAATGCTTTGTCCTGAATGACTGATGCTCCTGGTAGAAAAGGCAAGACTTTTTTATTAAATTTACTGTTGGCCAAAGAGAGAAGCAAACGTGATATCGCCTCAGCGGTCGCATCGTCCCAAATTGTTGCCACTCTACTGGAAGCTAAAACTGTACACTCCGTGTTAAAACTTCCTCTCGATTTGAAACAAAATGAAACCACTCTGCAATATACCCAAACAAAGTAATATGGCAGAAGTACTCCGCAAAACGAAATTAATTGTTTAGGATTTACAGTGGTAGAGCCACGCGGCAGCTTTTGCTGTCGCACAGATGGGCCGGCTCGAACCGGGGTGGTACCACGACCTCGCAGAATACCAGCGTGAAGTAGAAGTTTACCTCTGCGTTGCGCTTGGTAAGTGCAGGTATCTGGAGGCCCTATCCCCCCCCCCCTCATCATCAATATCGTAGCGGGGGACTTCATTCATCCCTTAACGCTTTCCATTACCATCTAGAGACGGCGAAGCCCGCCTTGCTCTTTTTAACCAAGACTCAGGTGTCCTCTCCAGCTGATACTTCATATCTCTTATACTCGGGGTACAAATTAGAACACTCCTTTTTGCCTCGGGCTGGGGTTTGCGTATACGTCAGAGAGGACATCTGTTTTCGATGCCTCGACAGTCTCGAAGGTATGGACTTGTCCATCCTATGGCTGCGCGTAGACAGCGACGACCATCCCCGCGTCTACGAGTGCCGCTATAGGTCCCATAGCGGTAATGCCGACACAGACCGACTCATCGATCACGTCCAAATGGCTGCAGACTCCGTGCTACAAGAGATCCCATCCACAGAAATCGTGATACTCTGTGATTTTAACGCCCACCACGCTAAATGGCTTAGTTCCCGTTTAACTGATCATGCGGGTTGATCTGTCTATGACTTTGTCTTGGCATATGGTCTAACACAACTGGTTACTTTGCCTACACGGATCCCAGATGTGGAGGATCATGTACCTTCCCTGTTGGACTTTCTGCTGAACTCTCATTCGGACAGATATCAGGTCTCCGCCGATGCCCCTCTGGGCTCTGCGGACCATTGTCTGATCCGGAGTACGGTGCTACTCACGCTCCCATCGCAGTTGCAATCTGCAGCTTGCCGCCTTGTTTGGCACTATAGGTCGGCCGATTGGGACGGGATGCGGTCTTTCTTTGCATTATACCCTTGGGCGCGGGTTTGCTTCTTGCCGGAAGATCCCAGCGTTGTTGTCGATTCTGTTGCTGATGTGGTACTTCAGGGTATGGAACTTTTTATTCCATTCTCTGTGGTGCCCATCGGAGGCAGATCCCAGCCATGGTTTCGCTCCTGTAAAATAGCATCACGCTATAATCAGGAGTGCTACCGGGCCTAGGCTGACACATCAACGTCTCGGGATGTTAACACCAGCGCACTTAAAAAAAAGTATAATTCCACCTCCAGGTCCTTCAAAAAAATCATTGCCAAGGCAAGGTCTGAGCAGATCGGCAGAATTGGCGAGAAGCTAGTTCGCCTTCCTTCGGGAACCCGTCCATTCTGGTCTCTCGCCAAGGCTGTCCAAGGGAACTTCTGTCAGCCATCTCTTCTAGCTCTGCATAGAGAGGACGACTCACTGACCCATGCCGCAAAGAAGAAAGCCGATCTTTTAAGCTCTCTTTGCGTCGAACTCGACTCTAGATGATGGGGGGAATACACCGCCGATCATCCCGCGGTGCGAGTGCTGCGAGAGTTGGCACTGGTTTTAACGTGTCTTTTTCGGTACTCCTACTCTCAAGGCGTAGTCCCAAATTCATGGAAGACAGCTTCGATCCACCCGATCCCTAAAAACGGCGACCGCTCAGACCCGTCCAACTACAGGCCTTTCGCCGTAACCTCCTTGTTCTCCAAAATAATGGAATCTATTATAAACTGCGAGCTCATGAGGCACCTTGAGGATCACCAGCTGATTAGTGACCGCCAGTACGGTTTTCGTCAGGGTCGATCTGCTGGTGATCTTCTGGTCTACCTGACTCATAGATGCGCGGAGGCAGTAGAGTCCAAGGGGAAGGCATTGACCGTTAGTTTGGACATAGCGAAGGCCTTCGATCGCGTCTGGCACAAAGCGCTTCTTTCGAAGCTTCCTTCCTATGGGCTTCCCGAGAAATTATGCAAATGGATCACCAGTTTCATTGCTGATCGGAGCATCAAGGTCGT